TCCGCGTGCAGTCCGACGGCCACAGGAAGAATCTCATCCACCAGGTTTTTTCTCACATCCGAGGTCAAACCTCCTCCTTCTTGCACTGTGAATTCTGTCCCCTGAAGTTCGGTTTCATTTCCCCTTCTTTGGTGCAGTGCTTACTGGGGTCCGTCAAATCCTCCGTGGACACCGCGATGCGGATGGGCGCCCAGCCACTGTTTTCCTCCCCTGCTGTGGCGACGGTGTACGCCTGTGTTGCGCCCTGCCCCTTGCGCGGCAGCTCACGCACCATCGCGGTCGGCGGCCGGCCGTTCCCCCACAACACCTCGTCGAAGGCATGGCGGTGCGCGGCGGCGAGGCACCCACCGGCGCCGTACATTAACAGCAGTAGGAACACCGCCAGTGAAAGAAACTGCGTGGCGTGAACTCGACGGCGCATGGCGTGAGGTGAGTGTGTGTGTGTGTGTGCGAGTGTTGGATTGTTGCAAATAACCGTATTAGTACCACAGAGCTTGTCCGCAGCAGAAGAAGGAAAAGGGAAGGGTGGGTGCAGTTGCAAAAATGAAAATTTCAGAAGGGGAACTATAAAAAAGAGACCGCGAGCCAAAACGACGACGGCCCTCGCACCTCCATTTCCGCGCAGCCGTCCCGTCCTCCACACACACACACACATGCAAAGGTATATTTCTCTTTTTTAATGGGTGCGGGGCCGCGGCGGACACGCACAGGAACTCATCCCCTTGTCATACGCCCACGCCCCCCAAAGCAAAACATACAAAAAAAGCAAAGAGATGGGTCCAACTGAGGCGCGTCCCCCATTCACGTTTCCCCCCGCAGAGGAACCCCTTCTGCCGCGCCGCCGCCAATACTCCCCGAGCAACAAACAAAAAGAGAGCCCACCAAATAAACATTAAAAACATATTAAAACAACAACACGGTTCATCCACAAGGTATTAATTGCGGCTGCAAACAGCGGTGTGCGAGCGGGGAATGGGGCAACGTCCGTGCGGTGGGTCCCTCACCTGAGGAAAAAATGATGCACGTCCTCCTCCCGCCCTCAAAGTGTATGCTGCACAAAGCAAAGGCTTCAAGTTCTGCAACGCATGAGGCACGTCGAAGCCCTTGAGCACGCCGTGCTCGTGGCAGCTTCCTAGCGAGACATCAGGGCCGCAATGCCCGTAGCCACCGCAAGTAACAACACTGCACAGGAGCGAAGGTCAGTGGCGGCAGTACCATCCGTGTGCTCCCCAGGCGATGGCACGTTAGCGCTCACTTTTTTCTCTCCACCCCCGTTGGTCCTTTTCTTTCCCACTTCGTCTTCGGCTCAGTTCCTTCGGGGCGGAGCAGCTCGGGGCGCCTGCGTTCACGAAGTCCTTGCCGACGTCGGGACTCACGGTGCAGTGCATGTGAGGGGTAATCGTCCCCAGTGCCCACAACTCGTCATCGTCGCTGGGGTGGCGCGTGACACCACTCCTGCCGGCGGGAGTGATGGTGCACACCTCGTCGTACTTGGGGCACCTGATCTTGCCGCTCGCAAAGTTAACGGAAGTGCCCACACCTGAGAGAAAGCTTCCCTCAGGGCAGTCGTACCAGTCACTGTCGCCGATGTAACGGACCCTGAACGAACCCCTGGCACACGCCACCTCCGCGCAGACGGCGGCCACAGCACAACCACCCTGGGCTCCGGGCCATACGTCTCCACGTTCACCTTGAGCGACTCCCGTCGAGACACCATGAGCCTGCGCCCAGGCGGCCCCCGTGCAGGGCTGTGCTTTCCTCATTGCGGCATGAACCAAAATGTGACGAGCAAATGAAAAGGCACTCGTCGTTCCACGAAAAACTGCATTGGCCCAAGCCAACGCGGTCGCCTGTGCAGTACGACACGGTGTCACTGTAGTTATCCTAACAGAACATTGCGGGAAACTTGGTGTGGTCGTCTGGCCCGCACTGCTTTTCATTGACAAACTCGCATCCGACGTTTTTGCTCCAGCGCATCGTCTCCGCCATGCTGAAGTTCGCCTTGTAAAAGCCCATATCCTCAAACGCGGCCATCGTCAGCGCGGTGTAGAA